TTGATTTATGGGCACCCCATTGACAACTAATGGTGGCTTTCGCGCGTGCAAAAACGAGAGAAACGAGCAAGTGAAAAGGAAAATTGGTGGTTGCATGTCTACCATGGCAAGAAGCGTCGGGAAGCAAAAAACAGCAACGACTAGCCGTACTCTATTAGCTGGAACATGTGCTTTAATCTGAACAAAATTGATTGCCACACGATCAAACTGTGCACTCTCTGTATAAAAATCTTGAAATCTGGAACTGATAAACAGCATACTTGCAGGAGTTCGTTTCGTAATGTACAACGGAATAAACCGTGTAAAAACATTTTAATCGTGTATCAACGAATCGTTCCAGTAAAATTGTCTAATAATTTTGTTTGAGATTATATGATGTACCTGTAGAAGAAGATTATCTAAATTCCTCTTAATAGAGCACAATAGTGTGCTCTGTCTATAATTATTAATGTAACGAAGATAAAGTAAGACGAAATGTAAGATAAAAATTTCAGCATTTCAATGGCAATATATTCGTGGAGTAATTTTCCAAAGTAAAACATCTTACAGTCCGAAACTTGGACATTTGTAAAACGTTGTGAGACACAAAATCACAAAGTGAAGCTTACAGCCCCATGAATCAACAAAAAGTATTATAACTCTAGGGAATTGGCATCTTGCAACGCAGCGAAGCGTTCCCATCCTAAAGTAGGTTCTCTTTCAGATAGATCTGAAAATTTACGAAACGTTGAACGCGATCCTTTTGATATCCTGGATCTGTTACAGTCGCCTCGAATGCTTGCAAATACACGTATGTACACGTGCAAAGGTGGGCTTCATTCGTCTAACGAGAAAAAGCGCCTCGAAACTGTTGGACGGTAGTGTAGTTAATCATAAATGTCGCAGACACTAGCTCGCGGACAGTCGTGTAGCAATATATCAAACCGTGTAGCAGAAAATATCATTCTGGTCCGTCGTTGTGGATGAAAAATGAATTTTAATCAAAAGTATTAGGCTGACTCGTAAATAACTACCCCCCGGCATTTTTTCAACGTTTATCGGCGCAAGACACTTGTCGGACGCAGGTTTGTGTCCGAAACAATTATGTTCCCCGTGTATTCTTTTCTATACACGTCCATTTCATGTTTCATACTTCATTCTATGTTTTATAATATTGATTTTATATTTTATATTTTCATTTTGTATTCTACGTATTGCCTTTATATTTTATACATTGTGATCTTGTACATTATATTGTTATAGCTTTTTAGCTTTATAGCTTTATATATTCATTTTATTTTTCTTACGTTCATTTTATATTTTATATATCGATTTTGTATTTTACATACCGATTTTATATTTTATACATCAATTTTACGCTTTACACGTTCATTTTATATTTTACGTACTGATTTTTTATTTTCACAAAACCCTTTTTACATTTTACATATTGATTTTACATATTGATACAGATAAAAGAAGCACGTCGTATAAAGTACTGCGATAAATGTCCTATCACAACGTTGCAAGCACATGATTCAATTATGCCACACGATAAATAATTTGAACGAGAATCGCAAAACATTTGACCTTTTGCCTCGACCTCGATTTAAATCATTAGCTATTGCGTCCAAAAAGAAGATTAGCATAGTTCTCAACAATGTTGAAAAATCCAGGAAAACAAATCGATACATAAGAACTCGAATGAATCTGTTCGTGACAGTAACGAAATACAGTAATGTCTCCCTTACTGACGCTCAGATTGCCTACTAAATTGGATAATTTGGGAAGAGGAGATACGATTATTCGAGCCATGCGGTTTGTTTTTATAGTTACGAATTGTCAACAATTGAGCCGTTTATTTTGAAAGTGGCATAAGTCACTTGACCGTAATGAAAAGTGGTGATTTTTTAATGTTTATACGAAATTATTTATACTGAGAAAAATATCAGTATCCTGAGATAACAAATATAAGTAAATCTTCTCGAAAGTTAGCATCCATATTTTTAAACGTGTTAAAACGCAAACCCTTAAATATATCGACTTAAAAACAAAGTGACTCATGCCACTTTCAAAATAAACGGCTCTTATAAAAACGAGCCGCAAGGCTCGAATAATCGTATCTCCTCTTCCCAAATTATCCAATTTTTATAGACAATCTGAGCGCCAGTTAGGGAGACATTACTGTATTTCCAAAATTTTATCTGAAATGCCTCCACTCCCCCTTTAAGAAAAATAATACATACTTGTTCGATTTATTTGTTTGACATTTCTATATCTCGAAAAGAGAACTGTGCAACTGTGGTTTGGAATCGTTTCAAACAATCCTACCGTTTGCAATTATAATTGTCAACAATTATGAAAACGAGCCGCAAGGCTCGAATAATCGTATCTCCTCTTCCCAAATTGTCCATCTTTGCGCGCAATCTGAACGTCAGTTAGGGAGACATTAACTGTATTGTGAAATACAATCGCTGGATCTTTTATACGCAACTGTTTCCAAAGGGCGAGTATTAATAAATCCAGTTTTATCTCGCGTAACCATGGTCGTCTTCCACCCACGATATCTGATGGGACACTGAAAGTAACAGACACCGAACCGCGGTGAAACCTACTTAAACAGGCAAACTAGTTCCGTTAAAAGCACGGCGAAACGGTGTCGCTAAGATGGCGATCGCTTGCGGAGGATGATCCTCCGCATAGAGAAGCAATAAGGGGAAAGCCCTTTAATGATCATTCGTGCCACTTACACCGGCTGGGTCTCGATTAACTTCCGGCAGTCAACCGACGGACGCTATCTCACGTCGGATAACCTAGTCGAGGTTTTCTCGTTCTTTCCCCGGGAGTGCATCACGTACGAAAGGAATCTACCTTCGAGTACATCGCACCAACCCCAGACGAGGTAGTAAACGTTGATCACCGAGGAATCCAAAATGAGCCCGACTGATCGCAAGTCAATTCCGCTGGAAATCGAGCGGAAGCTTTTCCGAATATGTTGGCAAACGTAAAGCTGAAAGTCGCGGCAGCCCCGCAATCCCCATTCGTAGTCATCAGATCGCGGATCTTTATGCAAAATAAAATGTTTCTACACCTATTGTACAAGTTATTTTCTGTTCGAATCGGTTAGGGAAACGAAGCGACTAATACAGATCGATGTTAATGCAATTGCAAAGTTAATGGAACAAAATCTAAGATAAAGTAGAAGGAGACGCTATGCAATAATTAGTTTTCATTCCGATCGAATAAATCAGATATGAATAAATATATATGTGATTAAATATTATATATGAATACGAACAAATATATTCGTCAAATATTCATCACATAAATATATGAATACGAATAAATATAGACATGAATAAATCAGATATGATGTTTGACGAGGAAACATAATTTAGCTCATTGATCGCTGCAGTTTCGTGTACTCGAACTTTTCGTTACAGTTTTCGACGATACTATGTACGTGCGCGGAGTTGTAAATCACTCGCAGTACGAAAAATATTTTTCGAATGCAAACAGAAGCGAAAGCATAAAGATCGCGTTGTGTACCAGAAGCGCAACGCTAGCGAAAATAAGAGTATTCATTATGACGGAAGGAATCCTGGCCGCTGTCCAGAAGGTTGTTTTGAAAGACATCGCATGATGCATAATGAAATTGAATATAATATGCACTTCATTCCTGGAGATGTACTAGATAATAACATAATGTCTCCTACGCTCGTAAAACCTTATTTATGGCTCTTCCGAATCGTAAATAAGGCTGTTATGACCGCGGATCTTCATGCATTTCTAGAACATACGGACTTCGGCAATTTATGGATCTTAAATGTTTGTTCAGTTTTTTTATTACTGTTAATGCTTGTAAATCGTTCGTGCGAGAAGTCGAATTTTATTTGCTGTTGGCTCATCTTCAATTTGTCTGTAAAAAGTGTACGCATTAGATCCGTACGTAGATTCTCATGGCAATCTCTTCTTTATACGGGAAATGTAAATTCTGAACTAAATATCCGTGCGTGTAATAATATTTGTGGTAGGAGAAAGGTTAACTTCGTTTAACAGTTATTTCCAACGTTATCGGAATGCAAATGAATATCTGCGTCATAGCATGTTCGTATAACGCTCCTGTACAACATGATAACTTTTAATCGCGATAGGTGGTGGAAGGTATCTGAGCTTCGCGGCTTATGCTCGGCAACCTCTATCCGCGTATAGTGATCTAATAATAACAGCTAGAGCTTCGGCTCCATCAAATTTATTCAATGCATTCAAAATGATGCTGCCGGGGCACCGCACAGTTGCAGCATTTAGATCGCAATCTCATTGAAGATTATTTAATGCTCCGTTCTGATCAAGTTTCAATTACAATACACCATATTCGTCGGTAGCTTTTCACATTTACTATGATATGGAGCTGATACGTTATCTGCGATCTACGCTATTGGACAAAATCACGGGCAGAATGCGAATATTGTGGCTTTATGGCAAAAGTGGACTAGATATAATTTGGAACAATAATTTTATTTTGTATTTCATTCCTATTTCTTGTAACTGATGAAGACAGTTTTCAATTTTATTTTTAATTCTGTTCTTATTTTTTGCAATTTTATTTATAATTATAATTTATAGTTGTAATTTAGAACTCGACAAGAATCACAGATATCAAGTTAAAGACACTGGTATTGCAATAAACAACATTTATCGTCTTCGAACTTAAAGGTAACGTCAAGGTGGAACCTGGATCGAATAAAAATTTTTTCCACGCAACTACGAAGGGTCTTCTCGACGCTACGTAAATTTCAAACTGGTGCGTTAATAATTGCCAAAGTTATAAATTTTTATTACCGCGCATGAGCCGGACCAACTTGCCGTTTTATTACACTTTGGTAGCCTTTCCTCGAACTGTCCGCTTGGAAAAACCAATTCGGTTAGGTAATAAATTACACCCTTGGAAAAAGATAGAATAATTCCACAGGGTTCTACTTTTCCGTGAAGCAGTTCAGTTCGATTTGAGAGAGCAACGCGTACGGTACGTCAAGTTCTGCAGCGTTGTGCGTCATTTGAATTTTGCAACGTTGTGTTCCATGAAATTGTGTACCGATGGAATATAAATGTGCCACGAAAAATTTGTGGTTGTACATTTAATCTATCACGTCTTTCTAAGGTGAGAATTTCTTGTATTATTTGTTTCATTTTCAATAACGTTAGAAACAATTAAAATAGCATTCGATACGATTTTATGTAAAAGCAGTGTTAAGTTTTCATAATATCAAAATATAAAGACAGAAAAATTAAAAAATATTCACAGATTTTTCGCGAAAAAAATTTTTTTTGTACGAATTGTTAAAAAAAGAAACACATTTCTATTTAATTCGCGTTTAATGCAATTTACTTAGAAAATTTGTACTTTTTCGTAGAGATCCGAAATTACAATATTCTATCATTTTTGCCTCACTGTAATATTCTATAAGTTTTGTCTAACTATAATATTCCATAGTTTTTGTCTAACAATAATATACTATTAACTCTGTCTCTTATACACATCTAGATGTGTATAAGAGACAGATTATGCACTGTACGTGGTATCGCGATCAACAGAGTTATTTAGATTCACGTAGATGTGTATAAGAGACAGATTATGCACTGTACGTGGTATCGCGATCAACAGAGTTATTTAGATTCACGTAGATGTGTATAAGAGACAGATTATGCACTGTACGTGGTATCGCGATCAACAGAGTTATTTAGATTCACGTAGATGTGTATAAGAGACAGATTATGCACTGTACGTGGTATCGCGATCAACAGAGTTATTTAGATTCACGTAGATGTGTATAAGAGACAGATTATGCACTGTACGTGGTATCGCGATCAACAGAGTTATTTAGATTCACGTAGATGTGTATAAGAGACAGATTATGCACTGTACGTGGTATCGCGATCAACAGAGTTATTTAGATTCACGTAGATGTGTATAAGAGACAGATTATGCACTGTACGTGGTATCGCGATCAACAGAGTTATTTAGATTCACGTAGATGTGTATAAGAGACAGATTATGCACTGTACGTGGTATCGCGATCAACAGAGTTATTTAGATTCACGTAGATGTGTATAAGAGACAGATTATGCACTGTACGTGGTATCGCGATCAACAGAGTTATTTAGATTCACGTAGATGTGTATAAGAGACAGATTATGCACTGTACGTGGTATCGCGATCAACAGAGTTATTTAGATTCACGTAGATGTGTATAAGAGACAGATTATGCACTGTACGTGGTATCGCGATCAACAGAGTTATTTAGATTCACGTAGATGTGTATAAGAGACAGATTATGCACTGTACGTGGTATCGCGATCAACAGAGTTATTTAGATTCACGTAGATGTGTATAAGAGACAGATTATGCACTGTACGTGGTATCGCGATCAACAGAGTTATTTAGATTCACGTAGATGTGTATAAGAGACAGATTATGCACTGTACGTGGTATCGCGATCAACAGAGTTATTTAGATTCACGTAGATGTGTATAAGAGACAGATTATGCACTGTACGTGGTATCGCGATCAACAGAGTTATTTAGATTCACGTAGATGTGTATAAGAGACAGATTATGCACTGTACGTGGTATCGCGATCAACAGAGTTATTTAGATTCACGTAGATGTGTATAAGAGACAGATTATGCACTGTACGTGGTATCGCGATCAACAGAGTTATTTAGATTCACGTAGATGTGTATAAGAGACAGATTATGCACTGTACGTGGTATCGCGATCAACAGAGTTATTTAGATTCACGTAGATGTGTATAAGAGACAGATTATGCACTGTACGTGGTATCGCGATCAACAGAGTTATTTAGATTCACGTAGATGTGTATAAGAGACAGATTATGCACTGTACGTGGTATCGCGATCAACAGAGTTATTTAGATTCACGTAGATGTGTATAAGAGACAGATTATGCACTGTACGTGGTATCGCGATCAACAGAGTTATTTAGATTCACGTAGATGTGTATAAGAGACAGATTATGCACTGTACGTGGTATCGCGATCAACAGAGTTATTTAGATTCACGTAGATGTGTATAAGAGACAGATTATGCACTGTACGTGGTATCGCGATCAACAGAGTTATTTAGATTCACGTAGATGTGTATAAGAGACAGATTATGCACTGTACGTGGTATCGCGATCAACAGAGTTATTTAGATTCACGTAGATGTGTATAAGAGACAGATTATGCACTGTACGTGGTATCGCGATCAACAGAGTTATTTAGATTCACGTAGATGTGTATAAGAGACAGATTATGCACTGTACGTGGTATCGCGATCAACAGAGTTATTTAGATTCACGTAGATGTGTATAAGAGACAGATTATGCACTGTACGTGGTATCGCGATCAACAGAGTTATTTAGATTCACGTAGATGTGTATAAGAGACAGATTATGCACTGTACGTGGTATCGCGATCAACAGAGTTATTTAGATTCACGTAGATGTGTATAAGAGACAGATTATGCACTGTACGTGGTATCGCGATCAACAGAGTTATTTAGATTCACGTAGATGTGTATAAGAGACAGATTATGCACTGTACGTGGTATCGCGATCAACAGAGTTATTTAGATTCACGTAGATGTGTATAAGAGACAGATTATGCACTGTACGTGGTATCGCGATCAACAGAGTTATTTAGATTCACGTAGATGTGTATAAGAGACAGATTATGCACTGTACGTGGTATCGCGATCAACAGAGTTATTTAGATTCACGTAGATGTGTATAAGAGACAGATTATGCACTGTACGTGGTATCGCGATCAACAGAGTTATTTAGATTCACGTAGATGTGTATAAGAGACAGATTATGCACTGTACGTGGTATCGCGATCAACAGAGTTATTTAGATTCACGTAGATGTGTATAAGAGACAGATTATGCACTGTACGTGGTATCGCGATCAACAGAGTTATTTAGATTCACGTAGATGTGTATAAGAGACAGATTATGCACTGTACGTGGTATCGCGATCAACAGAGTTATTTAGATTCACGTAGATGTGTATAAGAGACAGAATATACGATTATCTCTAATATTCTATTTTCTGTCCAACTGTAATATTCTAGAATTTCTGTCGAAATCGACGATTTCTTGTATCATTCGCCCAATTTCTGAACCCTTTATTCAGATGGTTGCGAGATGTGTTACAATTTCTAATCAGAAGTGTACGTACGGTTCCTGTCAATTTTTCAAAGTCCATGCACAACTCGAGCTTTATCTCCGGTACGAGCCTGCGTCTATTTGATCTTTTTACCAGCGGAAATTCCGAAATTCACGGTGAACCGAGAAAGTTGATTCGACGGGAACGCATCTCCCTCCCGTCTATATAAATTTGCGCAGAGCGATTGCAATTTCGACTCACGTTCGCATGATTTTTCGACTCATCGGGCGCTATTCATCGGTCACTGCCCTGGAAAGTACGCCATCAAACATCGGTTTACCGGATGCAAATCGTGAAACAGGCTTTCACGGGAGTTTAAAAAAATGCTCAAAATGTCGCAGTCCTTGGAACACGAAGCGTACAAAATGGCGGATTAATCGCTAATACCTTCTGCTTTTATCTTTCTGATCGCCATTATCGAATTCGCAGAGACAAATATTCCTAATCGGAAGAGAAAGTCGTCTCGATTAACCAATTAGCTGTTGCAAACATTATTGAAAGCGTGTGTAATGTATTTTTTAATTTTTCATTGCCAACGTTTATTTATTTTCTTAATCAGTTAGCTGTTTTTAACGAGTATACTCGTCATGCGGAAATGGCAACATTTTGTGCTATGACGAGTATACACGTCAAAACAGCCAACTGGTTAAGTGCTTTATACTGAATTATCTTTATCGCTGTATTCCGCGATGGTAAGCTTGATCCTTATTGTCATTGCTGATAGTCACGCATCAATGACGTGAATCTAAATAACTCTGTCGATCGCGATACCACGTACAGTGCATAATATTGTATCATTTTCGAAAGTATACACTCGGAAGTATTACTTTGTACGAAAACAATGGCATCGTGGTTTATCCTAATTTTGATTTAGTCGTGTTGCTATTTATCAAAGCTGTCTACACTTTTTTTTACCACTTTTCGTGCTTTGACGGATCGACTCGCGATGGAGATTTCTAGTAATTACCTGTTATGTACGAATAAATAAAAGTCAAAATAAATTCAGTCCTTTCATTTTTTACAGAATAACACACATTAGTCGCTTTTACTACTCGGCAGGCTTAATGTTAAAAGATCACACAAGAATATTGTACATTTATACGAGCATAGTTCTCACTGAATTCAGCGAGCAAAAAAGTAATAGCAATTAAATGATAATTGGAACGGTAGAACAACATTGATCCTTTCGAGCGTTATATTATCACTTCCGTAACCCCGGCGACAAACGCAACGTTTTGCGATTTCTTTTCTCGTCTCCGTGTCGCGTCGCAGGCATCGCATTCATCGAGTTTCTCGTGTTCTCTGGTTCATCGGAATCTCCAATCTTCTCGCAATCGTGCCGGAGCTCGATTCAAGGTTTCCTTCGAAACAACCGGGAGCCAGCGCCGCGGCGCCGTTCGCAAATTACGTCTCAATAGGACCAGTTAAAACGAAATTTAATCAACCCGCGCGACGTCGAGCCGGCCTTTGGACTTCAATTTGCGCCGGCATTAGGACGGCAACCGGTCAAAGTCGTGAAATAGTTGCACACCTTTGGAATGGCGAACGGATGTACACGTACACCTTGTCCGACTACCGGCGCACGAGCGTAAGAGGTCGCAAATGGCGTATGGTTACGTGATTCCGTCGTATTAAAGATGAGAGCACTCGCGCAACTTCTAATTAGGGGATGCACGGAACGTGAATTCGTTGCCGCTAATGAATTCGCGCGTTCGACAACGACCGGGATGATATTTCACGCGGACGTCGAAGTTTTGTTCCGTACATTGTATAGAGCGTCGCAAAGTTATTTTCCGGGATCATCGTAACTAGACCGTGGAGTTTTATGCAAGACAGGAATTTTCTGCACCAATTACGAGATACACGGATAATGATTTCGTTCTTTATTCATTGCAATCAGCTGTAAGCGAAGCAACAAATTGCGATGAAAGT